AATAAAGCTGTGCCACTTATTAACTCTATAAACTTGGGTAAGTTATTTAACCAGGTTCCTTATTTGTAACATGGTGATGATAATAAAAATTAAGTTAATTGATGAGAGATGTTTAGAGTACCACTGTGTACATAGTATAATCACCTTGTATAGGAGTTTGGATTAAAGCTGCAGGCCAAAATGCCAACTAAGAACATGAAAATTTCCTTGGAATTTCCTCTGGCCTGAGATTTTAAGAAGTGCAGGGCAGTTAAAACAGTGAGATGTACAATTTTTCACCTATCAGCTTCACAAAAATTAAAAAGGTAAAAAAGACCCATAATATATATATTACAGCACAGTGCGTGGAGAAATAGATAAACACATTCATGAATTTGCAGAGACAAAAATAGTTACAGACCTTTTTGGAAAGGTACATTTAAATGCCACATCCTTTATTTTATTTATTTATTTATTTATTTTTTTAACGTTTATTTATTTTTTTGGGGGGACAGGGAGAGACAGAGCTTGAATGGGGGAGGGGCAGAGAGAGAGGGAGACACAGAATTGAAACAGGCCCAGGCTCTGGTTTATCGTAGCCCAGAAAGCCTGACGCGGGCCTGAACTCATGGACCACGATACCGTGACTCCGCTGAAGTCGGCCGCTTAACCGACTGCGCCACCCAGGCGCCCCAAATGCCATCTTAGATCAGCGGAATTACTTACTATGAAGTTCTGCTGTCCTGTAGAAATACCAACATAAGAAGTGGAAAACAACAACTTGTACCTTCAAAGCCAGAAAGAGTTTTTAAAGCAGCAAATAATAGATTTGAGAGACTTTTTTAAAAAAATGTGTACATTAACTTTGGTTGGTAGATGAATTGTTTGTGTTTGAATAGAAAGATTCGATTCTGCTCAGGTCATTATCTGTTTATGAGTTCCGAGTCTTTGCCATTCAGCTCAAAAAGCTGACAGCTGGAGCCTGGAGCTCGCTTCAGAATTGTGACGTCTCACTTTCTTCTGTCCTCCCCAGCTCATGCCCTGCTCCTGTCTCCCTCAAAATAGCAAATGTTAAAAAGAAAAAAAAAAAAAAAAAAAAAAAAAAAAGGATGAATCAGTTCTTAACGTTTTGAATGATTGGCTCTAACTTCAGGTCTTTTTTTTTTTTTTTCAACGCTTATTTATTTTTGGGACAGAGAGACAGAGCATGAACTGGGAGGGGCAGAGAGAGAGGAGACACAGAATCGAACAGGCTCCAGGCTCTGGAGCCATCAGCCCAGAGCGCCCGCCTGGGCTCACCTCACGGACCGGGCAGCGAGATCGACTGGCTGAAGTCGGACGCTTAACCGACTGCGCCACCCAGGCGCCCCTAACTTCAGGTCTTAAAGTCACATGTGTTTATAATCAGGAATGTTAATAGGCTTTTCTTTTATAATTAGACAACAAAAAGAGATGAATTAAAATATCTGCAATTATTTTGTGTTCTTGTTAATCTAAAGAATACTAAGCATTCTCTGTAAAATGGCTATTGCCATTCAACTTTGTATACAAGAAGGTTAGTGACAGCGGCTCATTTTCCTAAGTGTATTTTCTATACAAAATAATTTCAAGATATAATTTAGTTAGCTTCTTGTCCAGTGCTGTATGTTAAATAATGATGAAATAGTGTGTGAAAACTACAGTACCACAAAGATCAACTTATTTTGCTATTTTCCTCAAATGTTAGTCCTAAAACAGTCATAGAGATGGGTAAGCAAACTACTGAAAAGATAGATTTTTTACTATACTCTTAACTGATTTCTACTAAGATGTGAAATAGCACTTTATACAGACATGTCAGTGCAGAACTTTACTTGATTTGTACTTAATTAAAAACAACAAAGATGGAATTGATAATTTAGAGAAATACAGTACCTTATTTGCATGCAGAAAATCTGCCCATTTTCTTCTGATCTACAAAAACTTTTATTTCGCAATCTAAGTAGTAAGTAAATAAATAGTACAGGATTCATCTCTGTGGGACCCAGATGCTATGGTTTGCCCGAAATAATTTCTTGGCTAGTACTTTAATTCTGTGGGGTATGACCTGATAAAAAGAGCCTTCTGAGGAGACCAGAAGCTGAGCCGTGCTGATGCTGAAACTCATAAGAACTTTGTTGGTTATAGCTTTAAGCTAAGAAATGTTTTAAGAGCCCCCATAGTCACATGTGTGAAGAACATCATATAAATTCCTATATCAAATCTTTATTATAGGTCTCCTGATTGCTTTATGTCTAGATAGATTATGTAATATAGGACACAATGATTTTCATCACCTTCATCTAATTTAGGTTTGTCAACTCTTGAAATACCCTGTTACTTGTTTTATTGAGGCTTATTTTTCTTCCAGAATTCTGGCTCATGCTCAAATTCTTACTCTCCTAGTCTTCACTGCTTAAGTATATTATGCTATAAATGTTTTATCCAGGCTCACATTTCTTATGGATTTGTCTTACAAATTTAGTTGCCACATCTTTAACAATATTATCTTCAGAGTTCTGGACAATACAAGTGTTTCTAAAGGTGTAATCCCCATGGTTAGCTAGATCAGATACCCTTTAAAAGCATATAGCAGGTAATAAAAGGATTTAAATTTTTTACCAAGTAAAAATTTGGATAGTCATTTGTTGGTAGCTTTAATTTGGTTAATTAACAAAAGAAGCCTAGTAAGTTTGATGAAAGTTGTTGATAAAATTCTGATCACCTGGACTAATTGTGACATTTGAACTAATATTCAGGTCAGTTGGTCATCACAGTTTTTTTGCTGGCTTTACTTGAACCAGATAGTAATCTGATTTCCACTATCATCCCTTCCTCTCACTTGCCAATTCAGAGGGGAAAGAGAGGAAAGTTAGATGCTAGAGCCAATAGGGACATATTGGATCTCTCTCCCCTAGAAACTCTGGTATGTGTATAAAATAGATTTTGAAAACTTTTATTATTTTACATTTTATTCTAAGTTCAAATTTAAACATTCATTAAAAGTTAACGAGAACAGTGAGGCAGTTCTAATGCACATAAAAAATGAAGTTGCAGACTGTTGACATTATGGAATTTTCATGGTAGCCATAATTTATTTTCATGTTTTTTAAAAATTATACAGCATTGGGGTGCCTGGGTGGCTCAGTTGGTTAAGCGTCTGACTCTTGATTTTGGTTCAGGTCATGATCTCACGGCCTGTGAGTTCGAGCCCCGTGTCGGGCTGCACATTTGACAGTGTGGAGCCTGCTTGGGATTCTCTCTCTTCCTGTCTCTCTGTCTCCCCCCCCCCAAAATAAATAAACTTAAAAATATTATATGTCATTAAGAAAATCTTGATTCACATAGATCGCTAGTTATAAATAGTAATAGTTTTTAATAGCTTACCTTAAATCTCAAAATACTCAAGTAAAATTGATCTAGATGCTTGAGTTGAAAAATTTGTATCAAAGTTCAGTTACTAACAACAGCAAATATTCACATTCCTTATTAATGTATAAAAGTCAGATACACACACAAATTTAAGTGTTAAAACTAGATTATCACTGTTGCACAATACAACTGTTACTCAACATAATGGGAGCATGTGCTGAGAACCCTGCCTGTTTTTTTGAGAGTGTTGCTTCTATGATTGAACCTTGCAGTTTTGCAGATCATTTGGAGGGAGGAGAGATTTGAGGTAGATACAATTATGTGCTTCATTCATAGGATGTAAGGAGGATTAAGTGATAGAATGCTGACAAAGTCCTTAGCATAGTGCTAAGTGCTTAATAAATGGTAACAGCCGTTTTCAACATTTAATAAATAATTGACTTAACAGAATTAGGTTGAAAGTCATAGGAGCATGCTGAGTATTTGAGGTAGAAGCAGCATTCTTCCTTAAGATAAAACACTGGAAGAGCAAACAGACTTTGGAGTGAAAAAAACACCTTGTGTTCAAATCCCGTCTGCTAATGGCTGTTTTTAGCCTACTGTATAACCTCATCTGTAAAAAGGGATAATATTTACCCTATTTACAAATTTTGAGAGAACTAGGCACCTGGTACGGGGTAACATTTGGCACATAGTAGGTTTTAATAAACAACAGCTCTTAAAGAAGCTAAGGACAGAACCAGGGTTAGCCTTGTTTACCTCCTCCAGCTGGGTCAGGAGGAATAGATGTTTCTACACAGTCAAGCAAAGGAAGGTGAATGTCTCTGCTTAGGAAAATCTTTCTGACTTTATTCTTGGAAAAGTTCCCTAAAGATATATCCTTGTTTTGACACCTTTGTTAATGTTTATTAACCTGTTTCTTTCAATTCTTAGTATTGTGTCACATCTTTTTTTTTTTCTTCTATACTCCTGCCTTTATTTGGTACTTGTGCCAGTAAAGAAAAGGGGCTGCTAAAGAGGCTGCTAAGGGAATAAGCAACCTGAAAATGGTAACTTATTATAGCTGCTAATATAGATTTCTTTAGCTTATAGTCAGTATTGCTCATGTGGTAGGGTAGAAGAAGTTGGGAAAATATCAGAGTCCAAAGAAACAAGTCAAAAATCAGTTTGTAGCTGTAACTGTTCTGCCAGCTTAACAACTCCTGTTTTCAAGTTAATATGTACAGCTTTAGTTTCTTTAGACTTAATGGTGCTTTCTTTATGTTGAAACTACTTCTGAATGGCTATGAGGGTGCACATACACAGGCTACTTTTAAGACTTTGGCTAAAACAAAATATCCTCTCTAATTTGATATGCCAGGAAGGAAATACCTGTTTCAGACAGGTTTAAAGCTCCATCTTGGACTTCTTTGTTAGAGTTCCCTATGTCTTCAGTAATCCAGAAATTTGTGTATCTGTCTCCTACATTCTTACTTTACACATTCATGTAGTAGACCAATCTCTGTATAATTATATGGCATCTTCACATTGTTTTATGGAAAGCAGAAAAATGTAAAATTAGTTTTATCCAAGCAAAGGCAAGCTAACTTATATAAATTTTCTTTTTCTGTCCTCCTTTTTTTGCTCAATAGGATAAGTTCTGAACGTCGAAAAGAAAAGTCTAGAGATGCAGCGAGATCTCGGCGAAGTAAAGAATCTGAAGTTTTCTATGAACTTGCTCATCAGTTGCCACTTCCCCATAATGTGAGCTCGCATCTCGATAAGGCTTCTGTTATGAGGCTCACCATCAGCTATTTGCGTGTGAGGAAACTTCTGGATGCTGGTGAGTTGTTTTACAGGGGCGTAATGAGCCTAAAAATTAGAAATTAGAAGTAATTAGAAGGTGGTCATACTCTCTGTCCTTTAATGTAATTTTTATTACCTGCTTTTAAAGCTTCAGTAAGGAATTTTTAAGATACTGGCCTTTTCCCCCTCTTTCTCTTTTGCCCCACCTTGCTACCAGTCTTCCTTTTAATAACATGACCCTTCTTTTCAATGGTTTGCTTGCCATGTTACTTTAAAAATGATTAGGGGCGCCTGGGTGGGTCAGTCGGTTGAGCGGCCGACTTTGGCTCAGGTCATGATCTCGCGGTCCGTGAGTTCGAGCCCCGAGTTGGGCTGTGTGCTGACAGCTCAGAGCCTGGAGCCTGTTTCAGATTCTGTGTCTCCCTCTCTCTCTCTGACCCTCCCCCGTTCATGCTCTGTCTCAAAAATAAATAAACATTAAAAAAAATAATAATCATTAAAAGCAACTGGCAAGTCTAATTTTAGTTTTTAAATAAAGTATCTGGGGAAAACTTTATACAACTACCTAAATATTGCTATCATTTAAGTATAACTTTTAATTTATTTTCCTTTTCTTGTGTCCTTTTTTAGGTGATTTAGATATTGAAGATGAAATGAAGGCACAGATGAATTGCTTTTATTTGAAAGCCTTGGATGGTTTTGTTATGGTTCTCACAGATGATGGTGACATGATCTACATTTCTGATAATGTGAACAAGTACATGGGATTAACTCAGGTAAAATACCCACATATTAAGAGCACTTCTAATTTTTTTTTGATTTTATGATACAGATCTAATTTTTTAAATGTTTTTACAGTTTGAACTAACTGGACACAGTGTGTTTGATTTTACTCATCCATGTGACCATGAAGAAATGAGAGAGATGCTTACACATAGAAATGGTAAGAAGAAAAGTCTGTTGTTTGATTTAATCTGGCAGGTGGTTTTACCTAATAAAATACTGTTACTAATTTAAAAATTCTGCTATTGTACTAACCTAAGGCTCAAAACATTATTTCATGTTTAATAAAATGTTATTCTGTTCTTTGTTAAATCTTTGTTACTCTATTTTTTAGAAATTTCATAAAAATACCTTAATTTTTAAAGCTCACTGAATTCCATAAATAATTATATAGATAATAATACTACATAAAATGAAAAAGTCAAGACCCAAAGAGGTCAGTTTATAACATACAACTTTTAGCCAAGGGGAAGTCATAATAAATAATAAGATTTTAGATAGTTGTTATACTTGAGGTACCAGTTTATGTTCAAACTTTCTCAAGGACCAGGGTAAAGAAAAGAGAAAGTTCACCAAATTTTTTAAAAGCCTAATTGTTTATTTGACTTCAGGATGTTCACAGTAATTTGAGACTATGTAGTAAGATCATAAAGTATTATATTATTGAATGCCCCCACATTAGCAGCAACAAAAAAGACCCACTAAGACCTCTTAACTCTCAGGCTTGAGGGTTTTTTTTTAATTTTTTTTAATGTCTATGTATTTTGAGAGAGAGCATAAGCTGGGGAGGGGCAGAGAGAGAGACGGAGAGGGAGAATTCCAAGCAGGCTTCATGCTGTCAGTGCAGAGCCCAATGAGGGGCTTGATCTCACGAACCCTGAGACCATGGCATGAGCCAAAATCAAGACTCAGATACTTAACTGCCTGAGCCATCATATGCCCCTAGGATTGAATTGTTCAAAATAAGTCTTCAAAGATTTTTGGAAAATACCTCTTGAATTACAAAAGCTTAATAATTAGTCTCTCCACCTGTACCTTCTTAAGGCACAAAGTATACTGATAATTTGTAGTCACCACAATGAAATTTGTCATTATGCTCTGTAGCTGTCCTTTGCAGCTCTCTAATTTAAGTGTATAAGTTTGTTTGCTTCTGTATTAAACAACCTCAAGTTCATAGCACTTTTTGAATATTTTTTATGTTTTTTAATCTCCTTTCATTTATGATAATAGTTAACCTCTATTGAGAGATTACTCTGTGCCAGAACACTGTTCTCTGCAGATTATATGCTTTAATGCCTTTTTTCTTCACAACACCTTGTGAAGTTACTATTTCTATTTTACTGAGGAAACTAAGGCACAGAATTATTTGGAAACTTACCCAAGATTACTTGGTTAGTAAATGGCACAGTATAGGTTAAACTCAGGTAGTTGGGCTCATTAGTACTTTGGAGATCTTTCATGTTCAACAACTCTCAGTACTTTCTGTGGCTACTTTTGACCCTTTCAGTAGGAGCCTTCTGTTTTTTTTAATTTAATACTTGGTGTTCACTGTGAACTTGGGAAAACAAATATGATTTTTAGAGTTCCTGTATAAAGGAAGAGTAAATACACTTCACACAGGGACCTAAGTGGGCTGTCAATTAGTTTAGTATAGGACTTCTAGTGTTTAGACTTTGAAGTTTAGACACTGAAGTTTGGATGCTCAGTTCTTCCCTTGGGCTATGAATGGATGGATATGAGGAAATTTTGTTTTGATTGGGCAGTGATGCTAATGCTTTATTCTAACTCAAATATGTTCCACATAATATAGTTTAAATGTATGTTTTTGAACAAATGTTTTTTTTTTAAACAAATGGCTTTTTAAAGCACATGAACTTTTTGAAATCATTCCTAATGTGTAATGAATGTTTGATGTTTTGTTGGGAAACAGATACGCACTTTTCACTTTTAGAAAAAGGGTTTGCTGCAATGCGTCACATATTAATATTATGCTAAGAACCAGTGGTGTGTTTATACAACATAGTTCTATTATTTTTTTCATTTAAATTCTAAAATGATGACTTAGAGTTCACTAAATTATTATAAAATATTTATTTTTAAAGGTCTGAAAATTTAGTTCTTTTAAAATGTTTTTTTTTTTTCCATCAGGAAAATGATAGTACCTTGGTTTTTAAATTAATCTTCCTGTCCCAATTCAAAGGCTTTGGGTTTCCAAAGGTCAGTACAATTCAAGCTTAGATTACGAAGGACTGAAAATCCTCAAAGAATTTACAAGTAGATCTCTGTTGGCATCACAACCACAACACAGCTCTGTACCACCACTGAGACCAGTGTGGTTCTTGTGGCATCTTTTTAAAATCCATTCCCAAACACTGTGAGGGAGGGCAAATTGAATCCTGATTTGACTAAACCCAAATAACTTATATCAGCACCAAGACTGCCCCTTTGCCTAATTCCACTAGCATGGAATTAGAACTCTTCTAGAAGAGTCCGGCGTTTCTACCTAAGTAAGCCTAAATTTAAACTATCTTATTTCTTTTCTACTTGACACTTTTTTTCAATATACTAGCCTTAAAATCTCCAGATCCTTTTTTTTTTATTTCCCTCCTCCCCACTTATTTCTATCAGTTTTCAAGTTTTTTCTAGTTCTTTATATGTCATTTGTCACCCTTCTTTTCACTTCTCTTTACTGTTCAGCCTGATTACCATCATTGTATTTTAATTCTAATACATCATATATATTGCTTCTAGATTAATGTACCGTAAGTTCCTGACTGTGCTTCCCATCTCAGAATTTTTTAGAAGCTCCATGTTGTATATTTAAAGCTGAACTCCTAATTAGGGCATCCAAGGCCCTCCAGTTACAGCCCTAATCTTCCCTTTCTAACTGTCTCATTACGCTTCTGCAAGTACTTTATATTGCAGCAACCTGATCTATCTACTAGCATCTATCTATTCCCCAAACATGTGTTCTTTTTCCCCACCTCTGTGCTTTTCATTATTTTCCTTTTCACCATGTTTTAGTTATATAAGGTTTGGAATGGGAATAAATAGACCTAAATTTATTTCACTCTAATTTTGCTTTGAAAAGTCATTCAATATTTTGGTTTTTTCCTCTAATAACAAAGTAGAAATAACATCATGCCTGCTTTACAGGAAGATTTAAGGAAACGTCAGATATATAAAAATGTTACCTGCTTTGAAAAGAAAGTTGATATTTTAAAAGTTCTGTAAATACATGGAGTGTTTATTATAAATTGAGCTAACACATTTAGCAAAGGTTGGAGGAGTTCACTGAAGTTCTTTTTTGGGGGGTGTGCTTATTACACGGATACAGCAATTAAACGGGTACACTTAATAAGGCAGATTCCTACATTTGTATTTCTTTGTAATTTTGCCAGCTTTACTGGCTTCAGTGTGAAATGGTTAACTGTTATTTGCAATCAGGGAATCACTGGAATTGTGAACCCCAGTTACTGATTCGAGTATATTAATCCCTTGGATGTGTTTGAGTATGAATCACTGTTTATGCTGAGACTTTTAATTGAATAGTACCTAGGTGCTACTCTTACTAAAACAAATTTAAATATTTAATTATGTTTTTAAATTTTATTTCCTGCTTTTATTAGGCCTTGTGAAGAAGGGTAAAGAGCAGAATACACAGCGAAGCTTTTTTCTCAGAATGAAGTGTACCCTAACTAGCCGAGGGAGAACCATGAACATAAAGTCAGCAACGTGGAAAGTAAGTAAAAATGATTTCTAAGTGGTGATGCACTTGGTTTATAGATAAATTCATACATCTTAACACTGCTAATATTTAAGATAGCATTAGAATTGTGAGGGGAAACGTACAGTTGTTCATTGGCATTTGCAGATTTACCATCCCAAATTGTAGTAATTTGCCATTTTGAGGCATGAACTTATGTGACTTGTGATACTGGTATACCAATCTAACTTAATCAGCTGGTTTTTCCAACCCACCCAGTGTTTGAATCTTGATAGAAATTAATTTTCTATTCATTTTTGTTTCATTTCTTTGCTCGGTGTTGAAATAATCATCAAAGCAAGAATAATAAAAATAATAAATAAAACTGCCACTATGACTAAATGAATCAAAAATCAGCCCAGATTTGTATGAAGAGAGTATTTTAAAGAGTAATTTATGGTGCCTGAGTCTTGAGTGGTGTCACAGGGGAAACATTTAATGATTTCAAAGATAGGGTTAATCCATGAATGACAGTAAATTTTATCAAAGCTTACTTGCCATGTCACACTTCAGCTATTTATCTCTGTGGTTTTTTTTAACTAGCATTTTATATTTTTTAAAGAATTGTTTTGTTTTCTTTGTACACAGGTACTTCACTGCACAGGCCATATTCATGTCTACGATACCAATAGTAACCAATCTCAGTGTGGGTATAAGAAACCACCCATGACGTGCTTGGTGCTGATTTGTGAACCCATTCCTCATCCATCAAATATTGAAATTCCTTTAGATAGCAAGACTTTTCTGAGTCGTCATAGTCTGGATATGAAATTTTCTTATTGTGATGAAAGGTAAATGATATACAAACTATAACATGAAAGTTTTAATTAGTCCATAGCAAAGACATATAATGCATAATTTGAGGAAGAATAGGTTACTTTTGGTTATGGACAAGAAAGGAAAGTGTTTGATCATCTCCTCACCCTACATATTGCCCATGATTTCTATTGCCATTTCCCTTTATGTTCATAACTATTTTTAATTGCCAATTTGATATTTTTATTTGGATATTTTTCTATATTAATAAAATATTTCTGTAACTGAACTGTACTACTATTGCCCCAAAACATCAACCTCAGAAATTGCTTTTCCTTTTATAATGCCTAGCATGGTTAGTATATCACTATAGGCATACGACTCCTACAAATATTTGGGAGTCATCCTTAACTTTTCTTTTACCTTCATTATGTATACCCAGTCGGTCTCTAAATCTTACAGATTTACTGTCTAAATACATTTCTTGATCCATTTGTTCCTTTCCACCCTTGCTTTCCTGCCACTGAATTCTTCAGCTCATTACCTTTGGCTTAAATTGTTGCCATAATCTCCTAAACTGTCTCTTTGCCCACAGATTTTTGCCCTCTAGTCTCTCATCCAGGATCCCAAAAAGTGGACTTCCTAATGTGAAAATCAGATCTTTACACAGAAAAAACTCTGGTTTATAAAAATATTAGAGGAGGGCAGGAGATTTTTCTTTATCAAAAGAAAAATGTGCATTTTGAAAAGCTGAAAGAAAAATAGACCTTGACAATAAAACCCAAACTTTGCTTAGCATGGCCAACAAAGATATTTATGATCTGGCCTCTGCCCACTTGTCTAAATTAATAAGGAAGAGAGGGTGTGACCCCCCTCCCCCCCAACACCCTACAGCTAGAGAGCACCATGTGCTCATTTGCTGTCTTAGCGCCTTTACATATATTTTCCCATTCTGCAGTGAGGTTTTCTTCAACTCCTAACACATATTTACCTTTCAGGAGCCATCTATATACTCCTTTGGGAAGCCTTCCTTGTTCCTTCAGGACACTATACTATTCTTGTGCATATGTCTGTCATAACATTTCTTCTACTCTTGTAATTATTTACTTGTCTCACTTTTTACTATAAGACTATAACATCATAGCTGAAGGCATAGATTATGTAGCCAGACTACTAAATCCTGATTCTGTTGCCTATATCCAAGTGATCTTGGGCCCATTAGTTCTTTCTGAGCATCAGTTTCTTCATCTTTTGTAACACCTACCTAACGTAGGGTCATCTTAAAGATTGTATGAGGGAACCAATTTTAAGCACTTAGTCATAATATAAAGTAGGTAGAAATCCCCACCATAGTGGACAAGGAAATGTGACAGATCTCTGGCTTTAGAATCACATAATCCTGGATTCAGTCCTGGCTTGCAGCTCTGATACTACAGTGTGGTCTTGGTATTAAAACTTAACTCTTTCAGGGGCGCCTGGGTGGCTCAGTCAGTTAAGTGGCCGACTTCGGCTCAGGTCATGATTTCACGGTCCGTGAGTTCGAGCCCCACGTCGGGCTCTGTGCTGACAGCTCAGAGCCTGGAGCCTGTTTCAGATTCTGTGTCTCCCTCTCTCTGACCCTCCCCTGTTCATGCTCTGTCTCTGTCTCAAAAATAAATAAACGTTAAAAAAAAAAAATTTTTTTTTTTTAAAAAACTTAACTCTTTCAAATTTTACTATCCTTACGATAAGGGTAATATTTCAAAAGGTTGTTGTCAGAATTGAAGGAGTTTGTTGAGTGCCTTGTACATGTAATAAATGCTTCACCACTGATGACAAGCATTTTATGGTGTTTATTGCCATTAATCATGTGAATATATGATAGAACAGAGATACCCATCCCTTTTTGAGGAATTATTTTTTATCTTTTGAACTCAGTAGCAAGGTATAGAGATAGGCTAGGGAGAATGGAAAGTAGTGGAGCTAGAATGAGAATTGAGGAAGGGAGTGACATTTCTCTCAGGTCCTATCAGAAAACTGGCAAAATGATCATGACAGAGGAGTAAAGACTGCCAACTTAGAGATCAGCCAAGTGAGGTTTTAAGTTTGACCGGGAGATTGTTATTTTCTGGTTAGAGCTCTTTACGGAAACTTCTCACATCTAAAACCCCTAATAACTGAGATCTAGAAAAATTTCTGCCCAATTTTGAGAAAATCTAACCTACCCAAAACTTACGGCATTCAAAATATCTCACAAATGCTGCTTATTTACTGTACTAATTTCTGCTTATAGTTAATCCGCACATTTATTTGAGCATCTACAATGTTCATGGCAAAGTAGAAATGAAGAGTAACAGTTCTTGGTCTCAGGACACTTAAAATGAATGAATAATACGCTGCATTGTTGCTTTAGATCACAGGTTTCCTAGTCCATTAAAAACACATTATGATCAAATTTCCTGGATCACTCTCCTTTTTGGTACAGAATATAAGCTATATAATTCTCTAAAGTTAAATAAAATTGACTTTCTAGGAAAGCATTCTGTTTATATTTTAACATCTTGCATCCCTTAATGATAGATGGACCTCAACTCTGAGAAGCACTGATTGACATCTAATTAAATCAGAGCTTCTTAACATGATAATAAAAGGCCCCCATTAATCTGCTTACATCTCTAGCCTCATCTCTTCTCACCTGCCCCTACTAACCACATGAAAGTCTTTCTCATTTATACACTGTCAAGCATTGTCTTCTCTCTGTCTTTGCTTCTGGTATATCTTCTTCCTGAAATGGTTTTGCTGCTCACCCAACCATTTCTTCTCATTGATAAGGGTGGTTCCTCTGATTCCTGCAACAGATTACCATCATTACACTTACCACATTATTTCATTAGTAGTATGGTAAGTGTTCCAGAAGATTAGCTACACGTTGAGTTTTGACTTTGCATTTTCACACCTAGAACAATGCCAGGCATACTTAGCATATAAAGATTTATTTTTTTGTTAAGTTTACTTATTTATTTATTTTGAGAGACAGAGTACAAACAGGGGAGGGGTAGACAGAGAGAGACAGACTCCAAAGCATTCTTCGTGCTGTCAGTGTAGAGCCCGATGTGGGGTTTGAACTCATGAACCGTGAGATCATGACCTGACCTGAATGGAATCAAGAGTCTGATGCTTCAACCCACTGAGCCACAGAGGTGCCCCAGGCATATAAAGATTTAAATAATGGAAGTTTTTTTAATCCCACGGGAATTTTGTTTAAAAGTAACCAATATAAGATGAATTAAAGTTATTTTTAAAGCATAATTTAAAGAAATAGGACCATTTTTTAAAAATACTAGTTTCCTTTGTAATGCTGCCACCTAGTGCAGATGTGTTTAGAGATACTTCTTTGTAAAGAAGTCTGGATTTTAGCTTTGGTTTAGTTTTTGTTTTTTGTGTTTTTTTACAAACCTCTTTCTATTTATAATTATTTTGGAATAAACTGTATGGCAGATCTTGCCTTAAAGTGTGACAACACAAACTCTTACTTTTATACATTTATACATTTTACTTTTATACATTTCTTAGAAGGATATCTTTCTTGTGTGTTTTTTGTAGTTGGTTTTTTTTTTTTTTGGACACAGTACACTAAGTAACTTTTGCTTACAACTCAGGAAGTCCTGAGAAATTGAAAAGTTTAACTCAGGTTTTGCTCCTAGAAAAAAGAGAGCAAAGTGTGGTGTTAAGAAGACAGCTTTCTCTTTCACATGAAATGGGTTCCGTTTCTGACTGGTTACACAGAGTAGTAGGATCTAATCTATGTCCTAAAAGAACTTTCAGGAAACCAAAAGGGGTTAGACTAGATTACTTTCTAGTCCATTTTCAGTTTGATATCATTGTTTCATCTAAAATGAATTCCTATAATTTTATATTATTTAAAAATTAAGTTACAAGAGCATCTTCTAAAACAAACATAATGTGTATCTCTTTACTTCCATTTAGTGTAGATATTCTTTGGTTGGTGATACTAAAATTGTGTAGTAGATGTTGACTGAAGCCTTGCCTAAGGGCACTGTTGAATAAAGAATCTGGTTTGTACACACTCAATACAAAAAGAATCTGGTTTTATGGTAAACTAATGTTATGGATTTAATCTTATATTTCAAGTTAAATGTCAGTGATTACCATTACAACTTTTACCATTTTATTTAGCAGTACTTTCTGTCTACTTATGAATCCCCTTATTACCAAAAGTAAGTACAGTAAAACATGATGACAATATGTAATGAGTTTGGGTGAAAGGGATAAATGGGTTAAGTAGCAGGATGTGAATCCAGAGGATTTAAAGAACATGCATGGTGCCGTATTTAGTAACTGTAGAGTTACCAAAAGTGAGATGTAAACTTCTTAGCAAAGAAGGATGCTCTTTAGTTTTGAAAATTCACTTGTCCATGAGATTAATTCATATCAGTTACTTTAAAGAAGCAAAATTTCTCTTTCTCTTCTTACATTTTTTACTTAACAGAATTACTGAATTGATGGGATACGAGCCAGAGGAACTTTTGGGCCGCTCGATATATGAATATTACCACGCTTTGGACTCTGACCATCTGACCAAAACTCATCATGACAGTAAGTACAATGGAAAAACTATATAGATTTTCTAATTATGTAATTTGCAATCTCCTTACTGTTTGGCCATATATCTAACTTTTTGGTTAAAATTAATCAGTCTTCCTAGACTAAATATCTTAATAGAACTCTTCATAAGGGATGTCAACCATTAAATCTATGTTTTGTATTTGTTGTAACTGATACTAGTTAAAGTAGAATCATTTAATAATATATAAAACCTGGCATTTTTAATACAAAGACTAAAAAATGTCATGGAATATTATAGCATCATTTTCAGAATTCACATTGAAGTATTTAGATCAGTTGTTAGCACATGGAAGGCACTTAGAAAATAGTTATTGAGTGACTTAGTGAATGTGAAGGCAATCAATGTCATGTACAAGTGGTAACAAGTACACTTGACATAAGATAAATACTCATGAATGTTATTTGAAGATCCCATAGTAAGACTTTCGAATCTCACTTGCTTATTTAATCTGTACCTAAACATGACTTCCCAATGTGATCCGGGATACCTGAATGTCACTGAGTTAGAATAATTAGCCTTGAACTACAAAATGAGCCCAAGTCAGCAGTCAGGACCCCAAGACTCAAGATAATGTCATCATTACTTTTTATCTGGTACTTGCTCCCAAATTAGCAATTGATTAAGTTTGCCTAAATTGCCAAGATTTCAGCATGATACCAGTTGAGATTCAAATATGTGCGCACAGCTATTTGAAGCATTGCTAATTCTCTGGAAACCTCAGTAGAAACGTAAGGAAATGTAGCAGTGCCACTTGCTCAAATGTGCTCTGTAGAATCAAGATTATTCATTGTCTAGTCTTTTTGATACTTTCAACATATAAGTCATTAAAGGAATTAGTCACTGCTGTCCCTCATTCCTGGCTTTCATTTTATTTAAAGTGAAGATTGGCAGGAAAGGAGTTTATTTTAGGGGTTAGAAGAATGAACTGTGTATATTTTTGGCTATGCTGGGGCTTTTTCTCTGTCACTTTAAACAATTATAACTGATTCTATTAAAATAAACATCTCTTTTCTAAAATAATCAACATTCAGCATCCATTTATTTGATTGAAAATTAGAAGTTATTTTCTCTGCATGACTGTTTTTCCTTTTCACTCCTAGTGTTTACTAAAGGTCAAGTCACCACAGGACAGTACAGGATGCTTGCCAAAAGAGGTGGATATGTCTGGGTTGAAACTCAAGCGACCGTCATATATAACACTAAGAACTCTCAACCACAGTGCATTGTATGTGTAAATTACGTTGTGAGGTAAGCCTGAAAAGTAAATATTTTGGGGGAGGAAGTAATAACCTTTTTGGATATTTTGTTCTTTTATATAAAGGGAGATAAGATTATAAAATGTTAACTGAATTTTATTTTCACATTTCCACCTAATTACGGTTTTCAGTACTTAGACCTGAGTGTCCAGGCCTGCTATTCTGCAGTGATTGTACTATTACCAGTACCCATCTATTCACATTCTTTTCACTCCCATTTTTAAAAAGACGTTAAAAAAATACCATATCTCCTATTGGGTTAGTTTGCTCTAGTCCTATTTCTGTCAGCATATACTATCTCAAATAGCTATGTTATTTTTGTAGGAAGAACCCTGGCCTTGGAATAGGTAGCTTTGTGTCATAGCTCTTTCACTTATTAGCTGCATGACCTTGGGAAGTTCTTATTGCTTTGAATTTCACCCATATAGGAGAGATGATATTTATCTCCTCAATATTCTGAGGATATTTAATCCTCAGAAATGAGGATTAAATGAAATTCTATGTGAGATTACCATAAAAGGGTGTATAATATAGTGCATGGCTCTTGTGTATTCAAGAACTCTTCTTTTAGTTGGCTGGCTTGTGAATATTATGGATATCATAAACTGGCCTTCCATTTGATCTGCTTCAGCAGACTCCCTTCTAGTCCATCTTCCACATTACCACCATGCTGAGTTTTCTTGCATGGATATCTGAGCATCTCCTTTTCCTTAGAATTGTTTTAAAGATGCTTTATCACCCCCGAGATAAACCCTTGCTTAACTTACATAGCATCATTTCTTGTCATTTTCTATATTCTTCATGCTTTCGTTGATTCCACCTACCCTCTTTCTAAAATCTGTGACTACCTCTCTTGGTAAGACTTTGGTCACTTGTTTTAATTTTTGCCACTTCTGACACCATCCTTTAATGTTTGGTTTTTTTTTTTTTTTAATTTTTAATTTTAGAGTGTGCAATTGGGGGAGAGGGGCAGAAGGAGAGAGTGAATCTTAAGCAGACTCTACACTCAGTGCAGAGGCTGACTCAGGGCAGAATCCTATGACCCTCGGATCATGACCTGAGCTGAAATCAAGAGTTGGACGCTCAACTGACTGAGCCACCCAGGCGCCCATCCTTTAATGTTTTAATATTCGTGTCAAAGAGTTCTTTTGTGACTTTCCCATTAAATTACCCACTTGGAATGTCCTTCTTTTGCCCCTGTCCCATCTGCCTAACAAACCCTACTGGAGCCGAAGTTTCAGCTTGTTGGCTGTGAAGCACACCTTCTCTATTTTAGCAATTACCATTTTGTATTTTAATTGTTTGCACATCTACATTGCACTTCTGAGGACATGGGTTAGGTATTTTAAACTTTGTATCCTTGGTTTATTTCACTTAGTAAACACCTACATGTTTGTGATTAAAGAAACAATAAAAACTTACATTTAAGCCAAACACATGGATCTGTTGTTCATCATCCCTCTTCCACTCTATCCTGTAGGTGTTATCACCATATCATTTTCTTACCACCAAGGAAAATATGGCACCTGCCTTAGGCCTTGGTCATTTATCTATATGTCTTTATATTCTAGGGCCATCCTTAGGTCATGCCTCATACGTCAGTCCCAAAGAGTTCTTCTGTGCCAGTTTCATTACATGTGAATCCTCACAAAAATTGTTTAGATGTGTTGGTCCTTCATGTACTTGACTATTCCATTTCTTTGTCACCATCACTCTTCCCAAAGGGATAGCTGAAGTTTCTTAATTTAGTCAAATATTTAAACTATCTTATACTATGAATTTTTATGGGTCTTTATTTCATATTGGCATTTTAAACCCTGAATGTGAGCAAGTATGCATGAACTATTAGGTTAAAGCATCTTAAAATGTTCCTTTTCATAAAGCAGTATTTTAAGAGACAAGGTTGCTTCAGAGACCCCCTGCATTGTGTCAGTGCTCAGTTAAGAATTACTAATCTCTCTTTTTTGACAGTGGTATTATTCAGCACGACTTGATTTTCTCCCTTCAACAAACAGAATGTGTCCTCAAACCAGTTGAATCTTCAGATATGAAAATGACTCAGCTGTTCACCAAAGTTGAATCAGAAGACACAAGTAGTCTGTTTGATAAACTTAAGAAGGAACCTGATGCTTTAACTTTGCTGGCACCAGCTGCTGGAGACACAATCATATCTTTAGATTTCGGCAGCAATGGTGGGTCTTTAGTTATTCTGTTGATTGCCTAAACTATGTCTATTGCTGTAAGCCCATTTTAACTGAATTTGGACATTTTTTGTGGGTAATCATTTGGATGTTGTAGTCATATAATTTGTTTTTCAAAGTCTTCAAAGTATTTGCTTAAATATTTTTGCCTCTGTAATTTCTCAGCATTCCTGCTTCTGTCATATTATTGGAAATTGTGCTTCAAAGGGTGCTTAGGTATTTCTTCTTCCCACTTTAATGTTTCTCAACCACCCTGCTATTTCTGTATTTCCCATTGCCCTATTTTCTCCACAATTGAGGAGAGTTCTATTGCAATAGGCATAGTTCACTAAAGGATAAATCACCAGTCATACCATAATATCAGACATTGAAAATGAAAACTGTAATTTCAAAGTTAGTTAAATTTTAATGAATAAAAGGTGTGAAAGGGTTGGAATTGCAGAATTGGTTATTTTTTTTTTTAATATTTATTTTGAGGGAGAGAGCACGTGTAAGTGGGGGAGGGGCAGAGAGAAAGAGAGTGAGAACTCCAAGCAGGCTCTGCACTGTCCACAGGGAGCCCACCCAACTCAGGCTCAGTGCCACAGAACTGTGAGGTCATAACCTGAGCCACAATCAAGAGTTGGAAGCTTAACCAGCTAAGCCACCCGGGTGCCCTTGCGGGGGTTTTTATGCTATAAATATAATAGGAGCTGTCAATAGTAGATTGGAAAGATAATTCAGATTTAGAGTTGTACCATAAGATCTGTAAACTTTCTGATGAAGGAAAATTTAGCAACATTTTTGTTTGAGTGAATTAGACGTGTTGTAAAAGGGGGCTTGCATTTCTGTATATGTTAAAATATAGCTATTCTTTAAATTGACTAATAATTTTTTACCTATAGACACAGAAACTGATGACCAGCAACTTGAGGAAGTTCCATTGTATAATGATGTAATGCTTCCCTCATCCAATGAAAAATTACAGAACATAAATTTGGCAATGTCTCCATTACCTGCTTCTGAAACTCCAAAGCCACTTCGAAGTAGTGCTGACCCTGCACTCAATCAAGAAGTTGTACTAAAATTAGAGCCAAATCCAGAATCACTGGAACTTTCTTTTACTATGCCCCAGATTCAAGATCAGCCAGCTAGTCCTTCTGATGGAAGCACTAGACAGAGTTCACCTGAGGTAGGTGTCATAATAAAAGAAGAGCATAACTTTCATATTTTAATGTTCAGGAATGTATTTATAAAATGAGTACCAAAAAAGTTTTGAATTTAGTCATTGATAGAGAATAATGTCTGTGCCTATAATAGCTCCAAGCCCATACATACTACTCATTGTGTTGGAGAATTGTCAAGTAGCAAAAACCTTACTTTAGCAAAGCTTAAAAAGGGAAAGGACCATAAGCTAATTGCTGAATTTTGTCCAATTTCCATTACTTGAAATTCTGGGTAAATTTAACATGAAAATACCAAGTCTTACACAGAGCAAATACTTGGTAACTATTTTTTATTCAAGTTCTGTCTTGATAATAGTTTTTCTATAAACACAAAGAAAATAGTCTTTAAGGGCTAGGCTGAGGTCAAGCCTAACGATGTCACATGGGGCTCTATTTCTAAATCTAGAATGATTCAATTTTGATTCAGTAGAGCTTCCTATATCTGAAGATAGCTCAGGAGTAGCACAACTCAGACTTGAATATTCCGACTTGGTGAGGCACAAATAAGCCTTAATAAATGGTGAATAAGTTTACATTAAATATTTATCAATTCAAACTGGCAGGCTAAGAGGAGATTTGACATTTCATAGCCTTTGGGAAAATATACTCTGTGCTTTGGTGGCTCACCTTCCCCAGCATAAAAATCTATTGATTCATTTTGTTTTTTATCAGACAAAGGTAAATCTAACAAAAATGTTAAAATGAGGGAAGCAAAAGTTTATGCTTAAATTATATAGCTTTGGTTTTCTGGTTATAATCCTTGCTCAGAACTCCCAAAATCGTACTACATATGTTAAGGTGAATGCAAGTAAAACAACTTAAGTCTCTACCCCTACTTCATCCCAGGGTAGATGTGAGATTTTTAGGTAGATCACCACAGTAGCGTGGCCTCTCAGTACAAAGGTAGAGTCCAGTGAATAGTAAGTATATCATATCTAATTATTCGCCAATTAGGTACCATGTGGGCGTTGAATTATTAAATGAATTCTCCTAGAAGCAGATCAATACCTTTTAGTCCTAATTTCATAAATGATGTTACACAGAAATGTATGTGTTGGCAAAATTAGTTACAAGGGTAAGTTCAAAAGTTTAACTTCTCTCTAGTTAGATAAAATGTGATAGAAGAGATGGACTTTGTTGGTTTAAGAATTCTAACAACTAGCAAAATATGTGCAGGTTTCCTCAGGGAAAAGTAAACCCATTGAATTCCTTTTACAGCCTACCAGTCCCAGTGAATATTGTTTTGATGTGGATAGTGATATGGTCAATGAATTTAAGCTGGAATTGGTAGAGAAACTTTTTGCTGAAGACACAGAAGCCAAGAATCCATTTTCCACCCAGGTATATAAACTTGTTTATTATATTTTCTGTTAAACTTTATTAATTGTTAGTTGGAAGTGACTTTGGGTTTAACTTGTTTTTCTTTTATAAGATGTGGCCATTGAAAAACTCATGTATTTTTTGTTTTAAAGGACACTGATTTAGACTTGGAGATGTTAGCTCCTTACATCCCAATGGATGATGACTTCCAGTTACGGTCCTTTGATCAGTTGTCGCCACTGGAAAGCAGTTCTACAAGCCCTCAAAGCGTGGGCACAATTACAGTATTCCAGCCGGCTCAAATGCAGGAGGAACCTCCTGTTACCACTACCAGTACCACTGCCACCACTGATGAATTAAAAACAGTGACAAAAGATGGTATAGAAGACATTAAAATACTGATTGCATCTCCATCTCCTACCCATGTACCCAAAGTAACTACTGGTGCCACAACATCACTGTATGGTGATACTGGAAGTCGGACAGCCTCACCAAACAGAGCAGGAAAAGGAGTCATAGAACAGACAGAAAAATCTCATCCAAGAAGCCCTAATGTGTTGTCTGTCACTTTGAGTCAAAGGTAATTATATACAACATTAAAGTTATAGTTGATTTATTATTTTTGAGAAAGTATGTGTGGTAATAACTTAATTCTAAGCATAGAAAACTTTCTGGTAATATGTTTTTGACATACAAATTCTGGACTTAAAACAAGCACTCAAATTAACTTGTGTATTTGTTTTCTTGAAGATAACCTTAGCACCTATCTAAATGTAGGAGGTAGGAGGATCTTCTAGTACTTCTAAAAATTAAATGCAGGCAGTAAGTTCAGTAAATGTACAAAAACTGGCCCAGTTTTTTGCAGTTGTTTAATAAATCAGACTAGTTAACTCTCCTCACTGTTTCTGTCTCTTTGAGCTATTTTAAAGCTTACCTGAATAAAAGACCTTCCAACGTAAGGGTATTTCCAATTCCCCATTTCACATTGAGCCTGATGATCTTCAATCCTCAGTATTCAACATAGGTATTTATAAGCCTCCTTTTAAAATTTATGTATAATTGTGCTCTTTTTCCATTACATTTTTATAGAACATTAGCTAGACTATAGGTTTAAGAGCTACAACAGGAATCTGAACATGATTTATGATATTGCTTTTGTGGAGTTAGTTTGAACAAATACCTGTACACTACCCAAATTTTAAGTTATAATTTCTGTATATAATTTGTAGCGGGATTTGACATTTTATTTTTATTTATTTATTTTTTTTTATTTTTTAAATTTTTTTTTTTCAACGTTTTTATTTATTTTTGGGACAGAGAGAGACAGAGCATGAACGGGGGAGGGGCAGAGAGAGGGAGACACAGAATCGGAAACAGGCTCCAGGCTCCGAGCCACCAGCCCAGAGCCCGACGCAGGGCTCGAACTCCCGGACCGCGAGATCGTGACCTGGCTGAAGTCGGACGCTTAACCGACTGCGCCACCCAGGCGCCCCGGGATTTGACATTTTAAATTTGAGGCTGTAATCAAAGGAAACACGTTTTAGCTAGTCAGAGAGGCAGTTTGTAGAGGAAAGAAACAATTTCTGTTTGTGCCTACACTGAACCAGATAACAACAGCAAGGAAAAAGCACTGGCATAAGAAGAGTCTATGACTTTTCTTCTCCTGCCTTTCATCACTGTTTTGAACTAGAATGCTAGGAGAAACCTTTTCCCAGAACTAAGAAAAGATCTGGGGGCTTTAGATTAACAAGGAAGCGTTTATATTACTTTATAAATTATTATGTCACCAAATGACTATAGGCTCTGACCTTTAAGGCAGTGACAGTCTCTTAAACATTTCATTGTATTAATATTTGGTCACTAAATGGCTATTAGAAGATGAGTGAATATAGTAATAGAATTGGCTATGACCTATAATTTACAGTTTACTATTAGCTACAGAGGACTATGGGATATTCCATTTTCTGATCAACTGTGTGCTTGTCAAAACCAAAGTCTAACAGCTAGTCACTTTTTTTCACATTAGTATCAAAATAGTATGCACTAAATACTTGCAGAACTGTACGAAGGCTTTTTCTTTATGACCTCTCTAATGTTGCACTAAACCAGATGACTTACAGCTTTAGAGCAAAGATTAAAGATAACCCATTAAGAAGTGCCTGCGTGGCTCAGTTGGTTAAGTGTTCAACTCTTGATTTTGGCTTGGGTTGTGATCTCAGGGTCATTGGATTGAGCCTCGCGTCAAGCTGCATGCTGAGTGGGGGGGTGGAGCCTGCTTCAGATTCTCCCTCTCTCCCTCTTCCCCTTAGCCCCCCTTACACGTGCTGATAAATCATTAGAAGTGCTACTACTAAGATGATATTTATATGATAGATTGCACTGTACTTCATAAAGATAATATATTTCTATAGGAATTTAAAAACCTGCCTATCTATAATAATGAAGGTTTTACAGAATTTTTTAAAATACAAAACAAAACTGCATGTAGGAGAGCAGTTTGAATAATGTGTCACTCATACGGCATTTTCAACTATATGGAACAGAGCAAGAAGCTGTTGTGATTGTGTATGGGCTGGGGGGAGGAGTTCTTGAAAAGACAAAATAGATAAGAGAATTCATGTGCCTGATACATAAAACAGTTATTTACTACTTAATATTAATTTTAAATGGAGATAGTTCAGGTTTGACAACCAGATCAATACTGAGGGCAAAATGGCTTAGTGGAAGATTACTGGGAGGGGAATGGGTATCAGGAGATCTAGAAGGCACTTCCATATCTGCAGCTAACCAGGTAATTTGCTCCAAGTCCCATTGCTAACAAGCCTCAGGTTTCTCATTTATAAAATGGATGTTTTATACCTCTTGGAGATTGGTGTGAGACTAAAATGAACTAATGAACATGCAATGTTTTATAAACTAAAAAAGCCATAGAAATGTGAAGTTACTCTTATAATAGTCCCAGGAATATTTGAATATTATACTGGCTGGAATGGAAAAGCCAGTATTTAACTTTAACCTACAAAAATGTCGACTTAGTTCTGTTCAGATTTATTTTATAAATAGGTAAATGCATATTTTAAGAAATTTTCTTTTAAAAACTGAGCTTTGACCTCAGATGATAAACTTTAGTAATCAGAAAAATTCTCTTACATATTAACATTATATTCCTTAATGTTGGAAAACAGGCATCATTTATTTTGCTCAAAAAAAGTTAGTTGGGGATTTTAAAAATAGTAAAGCAACTATGTGTGTTTTTTTTTTTTCCAGAACTACCATTCCTGAAGAAGAACTAAATCCAAAGATACTAGCTTTGCAGAATGCTCAGAGAAAGCGAAAAATAGAACATGACGGTTCACTTTTTCAAGCAGTAGGAATTGTAAGTGTGAGAATATGTTTCTTTTTCTGTTGTATAGAAGCTAATGTGCTGTATACAATGTGAGTCAATATATAGGTGATTTCTCATTTCTTCCATATACGAAAGTTATATATTCAGAGGTTAAACATTGTTTCTTTCACTTGGTATAAAAGACTATTTCATAAAAATACATTTAAATGAGGGTATCTGGGTGGCTCAGTTGGTTAAGCATCAGACTTCAGCACAGGTCATGATCTCATAGTTTGTTGAGTTCCAAGCCCCGCATCAGGCTCTTTGCTATCAGCACAGAGCCTGCTTTGGATTCTCTGTCTCCCTCTCTCTCAGCGCCTCCCCATCTCTCTCTCTCTCTTTCTCTCTCTCTCTTTCTCAAAAATGAAACATTAAAAAAAATACATTTAATGAATACATTCTCATTGTAAAAATTCCAAACAAAGCAGATGTATTTTAAGTAAAAAGTGAATTTCTCCCCTCATTCTAACCTCAGTGTCACCACCAGTCTTGTTCTCTTCTCTTTCAGTTACTTTTCCTTCTTACCTCCAAAAAAACAGTAGTTAAAGTTAAGTTAGTGCTGGTATAATTCATACTGATATTTTCAGACTATATTTACTGGAAAGCATTTACAGAAACAGTTGCCATAATGAGTGGCAAATGACTTTATCATAGTAGTATTAAGAGAAAGAATTAAAAATAATTTAGAACCATATTTAAGAAATTTGCCTTTGTACAGTTATTAATCTGCTTTTACAAAGTAAGTTTCTGCTTTTACAAAATTTCAACATAGTAAAATTGAAATAACTGTGCTGTTTTTAGGGAACATTATTACAGCAGCCAGATGATCGTGCAACTACTACATCACTTTCTTGGAAACGCGTAAAAGGATGCAAATCTAGTGAGCAGAATGGAATGGAGCAAAAGACAATTATTTTAATACCCTCTGGTTAGTTTATTCTTTCTACCCTTGAACATCCCACAGAGAATTAAAATGTATGAAAGTTTTTTATTTAGAAGCTTTACTTTCAAAGTGATTTTCATTCTTTAGCATCATTAAAAACTAAGGTAGCATTTTATCCACTGGTGGTGAATACAGGAATAGCTATTCAAGATGGAACTTTTAATTTATCTTTGTGTGCCATCAATATTCAGTAGAAGCTAAAACTTGTACATTTGTATGAGATTTTTTCAGAATTGATTTATCACTTCTTTGTGCCATCATTGTATCCTTTAAACACTTCTGACATAGCACCAGTAACACTTTATTCCACTTGCTTTTTCACATAGTTGTGGTTTTGCCCTGTAGACTAGAAACCCAGAGCTTATTTGCTTTAGTTTTCTGCAATACCTATAGCACAGTGAGTGTTCAGTAATATTTATTGACTAGGTGAATGAATACTTAGGTATGTCTTTGTTTTTCAGATTTAGCGTGTAGACTGCTGGGGCAATCAATGGATGAGAGTGGATTACCACAACTGACCAGTTATGATTGTGAAGTTAATGCTCCTGTACAAGGCAGCAGAAACCTACTGCAGGGTGAAGAATTACTCAGAGCTTTGGATCAAGTTAACTGAGCTTTTTCATAATCTCATTCCTTTTTTTGGACACTGGTGGCTCATTACCTAAAGCAGTCTATTTATATTTTCTATATCTAATTTTAGAAGCCTGGCTACAATACTGCACAAACTTGGTTAGTTCAATCTTGATCCCCTTTCTACTTCATTTACATTAATGCTCTTTTTTAGTACGTTCTTTAATGCCAGATCACAGACAGCACGTCTTCACAGTTCCTTGGTATTTAAACCATTACATTGCAGTAGCGTCATTTTTAAAATGCACCTTTTTATTTATTTATTTTGGGCTAGGGAGTTTGTCCCTTATCGAATTATTTTTAATAAGATGCCAATATAATTTTTGTAAGAAGGCAGTAACCTTTCATCATGATCAGTTTGAAAAATTCTTACTCAGTTTTTTCACATTTTACGTACACAATAATGATTTGCCAGCAGTACATGGTAGCCACAATTGCACAATATATTTTCTTAAAAAAATACCAGCAGTTACTCATGCAATATATTCTGCATTTATAAAACTAGTTTTTAAGAAGAAATTTTTTTTGGCCTATGAAATTGTTAAACCTGGAACATGACATTGTTAATCATATAATAATGATTCTTAAATGCTTGTATGGTTTATTATTTAAATGGGTAAAGCCATTTACATGATAAAGAAAGATATGCATATATCTGGAAGGTATGTGACATTTATTTGGATAAAATTCTCAATTCAGAGAAATGATCTGATGTTTCTGTAGTCACTTTGCCAGCTCAAAAGAAAACAATACCCTATCTGTAGTTGTGGAAGTTTATGCTAATATTGTGTAAATGATATTAAACCTAAATGTTCTGCCCACCCTGTTGGTATAAAGATATTTTGAGCAGATTGTGAACAAGAAAAAAAAATCATGCTTTGTTAGCAAAATTGCCTAGTATGTTAATTTGCTCAAAATTTGATGTTTGGTTTTATGCACTTTGTCGCTATTAACATCCTTCTGTTTTCATATAGATTTCAATAATTGAGTAATTTTAGAAGCATTATTTTAGAAATATATAGTTGTCAGTAAACATCTTGTTTTTCTATGTGCATTGTACAAATTTTTCATTCCTTTTGCTTTTTGTGGTTGGATCTAACACTAACTGTATTGTTTTGTTACATCAAATAAACATCTTCTGTGGACCAGGCCCCCTTTGGTCAGCTTTTATATTAAAAGTTTTGTTTCAATGCCTCCAACTCATAAAATTGATTACCAGCAGTTATCTTATGAAAATTAAATTGCCAGTGATTGTTTCTACATTTATTTTATTGCCATCACTTAAATGTATACTGTGTCCGTAAATGTCCTATTAAGTAAAAGCAAACTATAATGTTCCACTGTAAAAAATACTTTTAGAAAAGAAACTTGTCATTTATAAATTTATGAACCTATTAAAGCAAATTTTAATGCTTTAATATGAATGGGATGAGTAAAGCAAATCCCAAATATTATAGTTACATAATGTTGTAAGGATGAGAAGTACCTCTAAAGATTTCTAATCTATTTCCATTTCACAGATGAAGAAATGTAGACCTCAAATGATAGTCGATTTGTCCAAGTCTTCAAGGTAATAAATGGTACACCAAAGATTTACACTTAGGTTTTCTCTTAGTATGAAACTAGAACAAACCTTGCATGTTTTTTAAATCAGAACTGTATATTTTATATTTTTTAAATAACTTAATTCATTTTTTTCTGTATGTTTTTATGGAATTGCTATATTTCTTCCTGATTATAAAAGTAATATTCTCGCTGTAAAAAAAAAAAAATTGCACAAAAAGATGAAAAATCACCATGAGCCTCTGCACCTAGAAGTAACAGCAAATTATTTTTATGGACAAATTACAAAGGCAGTGGCCAGAGCCTTAGGTCCTGTAGCCTGAGGTTACAAGAACCAAAATATCTTGAACAAAATGAACTAAGTCCAGATCTTATCTTAGACTGAACAAAATGTTATTACAGCGGCATGAAAATTTGGGAACAAAAATTTATAATTCGAAGACTCCAAGTTTTTGGGGGCACATGCATACTTCACTGTAACTACTATGACCCAAAGTAGTTTTGCATTTCATTACAGATAGTATAGAGGTGGTATTTTAGAATAAAATAGTTGCTTAGTATTTTCAGGTCAAAAACACCCCAAAATTATGCTTATTTTGGTAGCAGAATTAGCTTTAGTCGAAAGCTAGAAGTTTATGTGTAGTTTTCAAATATTAATAAGTGGTCAGGTTATGTAATGACCGGGAGTCAGAAAATGACTTGTAAAAGCAGTGATTTAGAAGAGAAAGCCACTTTAACAGACAGTAGAACTGGAAGAAAGTAAGTACCCACCTCTTGGTCATTCAGGAAACAACCCCCATGGAGTGCTTGAAGCTGCTGGAAATAGAAGAACCAGCCCTTCCTTCCCAGGTTTGTGCCCTCTCTCTCAGACTGTCACTTACTTCCTTATAATGCCTTTCTCTGAAGTATAACCCTACCCTAGCAACTAGAATTCTATAATAGCTCTTCTCTCCTCCTGATGGATGCCTATACTTTACACTTTTCTGGTGCTGCTGTGAATGAATGACCACAGTATTATTTTACTTACCTGAAGAAAGTATGGCAAAGGAGTTTGGTGTATTTTGTTCTTTTGTGCTCACCATTAACTTTGGAACTAAAAAGGGTTCTACAGAGCGCTTACCACAACTAAGTACAATGGCTTTTAGATGAGTTAAAATGAATCTAAACATCTATTAGGTCCTATATGCTAGACTTTGTGCTAGGATGTTATCTCACAGTCTTCAAAAAACACTTATGAATTAATATTTATATCATTTTGTAGATACGAAAACATTCTTGAGACCTAGCCTAAGGATCAGAGCATTTGAGGTGGCCATCAGTGACTCCATAGCTCATGGTGCTAAACACCAGGGGGGTACTAGCCAGTTGGGTAGCAGTAGAGCATGCCCTTTACCCTATTAACTGTTTAAACAGCAAACAAGAGAAAGCAATGGGGTGAAGGTAATGAAATCACAGGGGATGTGCTAAGAGGAATGGCAAGACCAACGGAAATGAGTTAAGTGGTGTTCTAAAGTGCTATCGAGAATTTTGAGTTTGAACTAGAGATTCAGGTGTCTGGTGATGGAGATATTAACAGGTAAATGAGATGATGTATGCAAAGCCCGTTAATGAACTATAAAAGATTACATCAGTGTATGGCATGGTCCTCCTAGAGCTGTCTGACTTAATGGCATTATACACGTTTATTTTAAGTTTGTATAACTTTGCAACTACCTTTCCAAATAGCAGTTTTCCCCTACAACCTTTAAAACAGAGAAGTGCCCTTAAAGTTACTGGCTGTGCAGAACTTTAAACATTTAGATTCTAGAAGTTCAGATTTCTAATGTAGCAACGTCAAAAATAAGTTGCAAAGAATAGGTAATCTTTTTTTTTAACAATGGGCTTTTGGTTAAATAAAACCTTTGCAAACATGTTGCCAACTGAAACCAACAACAGTGTAAAGAAAAAAAATCTTACTCAGGTGTTTTTTAGGTCTGCCGCTAACCACTTTACTCGTATTTCATCCCTTAAAATAGCGCTGAACCTGTTGTCCCAGATCGTTTTACAGATCGTTGTTTGATCTGTAGAATTTGATACAAAATAGTCTCCCTGTAATATTAAGCTACGTCTTACCACAAACCCTCCTATCAATACCTTCTGGAGCTTTTTTGTGTTCACACCTTTCAGAGGTTTGGACATAATTTTCTTACCTGTAGTGGACGGTTTTATCCAAGACGCTGCCCAGACACCCGATCTCCTCGTACTATTTAATTTCCTTTATTCCCTTGTCTCGGATCCATCCCGGGACGGAGGGGAAAGACAGGTGCCTGAGAGCAGCAGTGATCAGACAGCCCCCTCAGCGGGGAAAATAAAAAGGATGCGGAGGGGACCGACCACCCCTAATGTCCATGGTGCCGCTGGTACTACATGATGAGGATGCGAAACACAAGCCGTCGGGAGAAACTTCCCCAAACCCCGCCCGCCGCGCTGCAGGCCACGCCCCGGTACGTGCTCGGGCGCAGCACAGCAGCCCCGGCCCCCGCCCTCCGCCCCAGGCCCGGTCCGCTCCGTGGGGCGGGTGCTCCCAGCCCGGGCCTACGTGTAAGATCTCACGTGGGAGGCTCGGCCCCACCCGGCCTGCTGCGGCGCGGGGTGGGGCGGGTTCTCGAGGGGTCAGCGCTGCTCTTTGTCTTCCGTGACTTGTCCAATTCTGATGCCTGGCGCTTTCCCGATTTTTTGGTGGGGGATGGGGTGGGGTGGGGTATAGGACTGTTAGGAGGTTCAGGGAAGGAGTCTCATGTGTCGCTGTAGAGCTGTCTGCGGAATTCCCAAATGTTTTGGGGTATGAAACTGTGTTTTGTGGAATAGAAACATATCTGAGGTCTCCTAACAGATGGGATTGCTTAACTATTTAAAAAGGTTTTAAAATATTAATCCTCTACTAATCTGGTCAAAAATGGAGGACTCTTGATTGTTTAACTATATTCCCCATGAGGCACTCAAAGACTTAGTTCGTTTTAAATAAAGCGCTTTGAGATATCCCTGGTAATGTAAATTGAAACTTTACCTGCCCCAGGTGGTTTTTTGTTTGTTTTTTGTTTTTGTTTTGCTTTTTGCTTGTTTGTTTTTTGAATACTGTGTGCCAGCACCCTACCAATGCCAGATATTAAGACTCCTTTGGAAGAAGATAATCTTGTTGGACAGAAGGGAGGTGAGTTTATGGAATATGGGAAGGCTTGGGGCATTGAATTTAATCTCCTGTAATTCGTATGTTTAGGTTGATCAGTTTGTAGTAAAGTACAAAGAAAGGTATTGTTTAAAATAACCTCATCCATGCATATCCGGGGTTGTCAACATTTTACATTTTATTTTAAATTGTTTCCTTCAGGATAATTCATTGTTTATGGTTTTTCAAACAATATTTAAGAAAGTAAGAGTCCA